CCACATGGTGGGGTTTTCTTTTTTGAATGAACCTCTCAGTTTAATTAATAGTTTCAGCTGTTCATACTCCTGTACGTTTAGTTTACAACCCTTGAAATGCTAATACACTTAATTTTTTTTTTTCTACTCCACACCTATACTAGCCATAGGTTTTCTTGCAGGTGAAGGGAATAATAAAGCAATGAATTTCTTTTGCATATTCACTTTTGCTGCCGAATATTAGTAAATGCCATGGGTAAGTCAGTTTCCAGATGGAAATAATACTAAATAACCCATTCATTTCCCATAACAGTATAACGGTGCTTGTTCACTGTCGGTACAGACTCAATAGAAATTAGCAATTAGGGTTCACGTAGGCTGAAGTTCACCTAAATCTCTGCTTTCTCCACACTGTAATTTAAAGTACTCCTTTTTGTCGTCTTTTATTTTCATCCTTATCATATAGATAACTGACAGTTTTTACTGTTATTTCTTAAATTACTCACTGCTTTTTTTTTAAAAAGAAGGAAGGAGGTTAATATGAAGTGGATATTTCAGCTCGGAGTAAAAAGCTTTAAGAGCTCCAATAGCATTAAATAAAATTGTATTTAAAAAAATTTGTGATGATGACTTTTAATGCCATTCAATAGCTAATGGTAATTTTCAGGAGCCATGTGTGCTTACTTTTTTTTGTTACAGAAGTACAAATGTACTGCTCGTAAATTTTTTTCTTAATTATGTCTCTGAAGTATTTCACCATGTTTGTGTATGTTCTTTGCCATGACTATCATTAGTCTTGTTTAATGTATTTTGAACTTATATAACATTTTGTTTGGTGTTGTAATTTTTCCTCTAGACCCTAAATGGATTTCAAGTGCCCTTTCTGTGGGATTAAATTAGTTCCCAGCTGAAGGTATCACTACAGGTACACACTTGAGCTGCGCATGCGCTGCGTAATGGAAGATGAACAGAAAACAATCCCTTGCAGCATGTTGCATCAGCTTTTTTCCTCTGAGGCGAATAAACAAAGATGTTGTTATTAACAAAATAGAACTCTAATCCAAATTAAAAAAAGTTCATGTAGAGTTGGTGATTAGATCTGTATCTTCATCTGCGTAGGCGTACTACCTTTTTCCCTTTTGCTTTATCATATTGGCTCTCCTTTTCTTTCCCTGTCTGCTCCTGTCTGCTTAACGTAGACAGTAAACAAAAGTAAACTCCACCATAGGTGTAATGGGTGTGAGGTATGCATTAGTGGGTATTTTGTGACTTCAATGACCGTTAGTTGCTTTTTTAAAAAATGCTTACTACTTTCTTAGTTATTCCCAATTGAATGGGGAAATAGTTTTAAATAACTGAGAGTATAATTTTCTCCATTTCTTCAAAACAAAAATCCACACATGTATGCGTACCTCTCTGTGTGTGTATATATACGTATTCCAGATAAATCCACATACTAATCTATGTAAATTTGTGTGGAAAGGGATTAACTTTCAAGAAGAAAAATGGAGGTGTAGGTAGGGGATTTACAAATACTTTGCATCAACACAACAGAAGTGCCAGTTATCACAGACATGGTGATCTGAAATAGGGGTGGACAACCTGACAGACCCTGTTGAGTCTGAATGCTACTCTGATGGTATCTATGCTTCTTTCATGTGGTGACAAAACACTTGGTCTTCTTGACTCTCTTACTAAGAACTTGTGAAGGAGATAATTCATCTCTGCCATCACTCCAGGGCTGTTAATTCAGTGGAAGACTGACAAACTTGACCAGTGAGCATGTTCTGGGAAGTGAAACCAGTCAATCTGGGAGGCTGAATTTGAATCAAGCCTGGTTTATAGTAGGAAGAAAGCTGGTTATGTGTTCTGAAACAAGAGAGGCAAACTTAAGCAGGATACTCAGAAGTGGATGGTTAGCTCAGCAGAGAGTTGGGTAAGAGAATGGACCCTGTAGAGTAAAGCTTTGAACTTGGAGACCTGACCTTTTTCTTTCAGTGTCCTATTGCTTAACCAGTTTTTTTGGTCAGAACATAAGGAAATTTCCCCTCTGCTACACCTTTTTTTCCTAGAACATAACCATGTTTGTTATGGAAACCTGGCTTTGACTGTCACTAGCTCTAGGTGCTGCCTGTAACTGTTGTCCCTGATTTTGAATGAAGATGTAAGCCAGTGCCATTATCAAAGTGCTGTAATGAAAAATCACAGCACTGAACTCCAAGGTCTGTGTGAAGTAATACAGATGCTTTAGCTTCCAGATTCATTTTTCATCTTGCTTTTTTGAGGTACTCTATGTTGCCTGCTATAAAATCCTATTTTCATCTCTCCCTCTGGTTCTGAGGCACCAAACCAAAAGTGTCTGATCTTTAAAGAGGCACCTGTGAAAGTGTTGGGAGGTTGGTCAGCAATAGTATATTGATTCTGAAATGTATCGACTAGCTGTTTATGTATTTAATAATTTAAAAAAAAAAAATCTGCTATCCATGGTGCTGTCACAGTCACTGCTAAAGGCAGACACTGCTAAAGTGGACTGTGTGCTCAGAGAGAGTGAGCTGTTAGCACAAGAGGGAAGGGCATGGCTTTTGATAGCTCTCTGATGCTTCATGTAATCTCAGGTATGGATCAAACTGTGTTGGAGAAACTCTAGTAATTTAATGTCTTTTTTCTGCCTGTGAGTCTTAGGTTGGTAAGATTGGTGTTGATTCTGGAATGTGACTTCGGTGCAGTCTCTAAGTATCTGGTTTGAGTAATTTTTTCTGCATGCTTTTTGTGAATTTGAACGAGCCTTTGAAATCTCGTGCTTGAAAAGGTAACCTTTGGAAAGAACATAATCTCTGAAATGAAAAAGGGTAATGGAAGTAATGAAAAGTAGTTGTATGCCCAGGATAGGTAGAGTTACGACTGTGAATTCTCATTTAGCCCATTCTGTGTGTGTATAAAATATTGTGTGCTTAAAAACTGGGTCTCCGAAGCCACTTTTTCATTTCTGATATTGTAGTAGTTGAGGAACTTAATACATATCTTGAGTTGGGCTTATGTAACACCTTTGCCCTTGAACTCTTGCTCACAAAGGTGTTGCTGCCACTCGCTGGGTCTGATCAGGGGTACGTCGATTACTGCTGGAGGGAAAAGTTACCTTGGTGTGGGGTGACGTTTGATAACAAAAACGTTTATATTTCTCTTGTTTTCTTTTACTACTTACATGTTTTTGTTACCTCTGCAGTTCTGCAAGCCCCAGGACGGAAATGATTGCACACTGAAATGTGTGTGAATTATCTTAGCTGGTGACAGAGCAGGCTTGTCTTTTGTGACTGTTATTGTGAACACTAGCGTAGTGCTCTGAGCAGGTTGTGAGGCTGTGTGCTGTTCAGCACTTGAAAGACACAATTATATATGGAAATTGGGATGGTTTAATTACACAGATGAAGTTTGGAATAGGTCACTCATCTTCTTGAATCATGTCTCGCACCTGTCCCAACAGGCACAGATCTAGGCCTTTCAACAGATTCTGTTCATCTAACAGAACTCATAACATGTATTGCCTTCTCATGGGACAGCTGATTTTTAACTCTTGGGTATTTTTGTTGGTTTTCTTTGACACCTGATATTATTTCCTTGTCTAATTGAAAACGATTAGTAATACGGCTGGGATTATTTCATGGAATGTTGCTTCAGGATTTTAAATGGTGTTATTCTACTTAAAGGGTCAGTGCTGGTGGGAATTCTGAGTATTATCTGTGTATTGTCAAGTTGGTGTGTAGCTCTGTCCCTTTACAAAGATAAAGCAAGATGGTCATACTGTGCAGTTAAGCTTGCAGAATAATGGCAGGGCAAAGGGAGAGCAATATTGCTTTGTTGTTGAATTGTCTTTTCTGTTTAGCTTTTTCTGCTTTAAGCTTTTTAGAGGTGGCTGGGGATGAAGGAATTGTCCTGTACCAGCTTAGTTAATGCTGCTATGAAAATGCCCGAGGTAAACTAATTATCCAAGGGGTAGAAACCGGGTAGAATTATTTTATGCCAGATGTTTTCCTAGTGGTAATGTGTATAACGAGAGAAATAACTCTTTTCTTTGTTATGTTGTAAAAAGAAGTTTAAACTGGGGTTTTGGTGTTATTCTTCATGCTAAAAATTAACATCTTTTCTTAGGTGACACCTGTAATGAAACCCATGCTGATAAATTAGTACAGTAAAAAACAATGCTCAGAAAAGAAAGGTGTTTGTAGTCTGTTTAAAACTTCCTCTTAATGTGACTTCTAAGTTTTCCAGCCACTTTTGAATAACTTAAAATGCTCATTAAGCTTAATTCGTGTTAAGCATGTTTCTTTCTTGAATGCCAAATGTGTTATGTGATATTTAAACGGAAATAATTCCTTATTAATGGATTTACTTAATTAATACTTAATAAAATTATGTGAAAATTAAATATGTTAAATTATGCAAAAATGCATAAACTTAAAAATACTGAATATAAGGCTAGCAATCCTTGCTAATGAAAAATAAATAATTTTAAAATCTGTGGTATTTTCTTATTTGTGTTTCGCTCTTTAGCAGTGACAAAATAAATAATAAGTAAAAACCTACCTCTGTGTAGTGCGATAAATCTCAAATGATTTATCTTATTGGTTTTGAATTGAGAACTTTAAATGGTATTTTGAGTTATTAATATTTCAACAGAGGGCACTCATGTGCTTTGAGGTAACACCAAAGCACTGCATTTTTGAAAGTGCTTGGAATAAATTGAAGACAACAAATTTTGTGGGTTAAAATGTATAAATATAATTTGATAGTGGTCGGGAAAATTGGTCATTGTCATAATAACATTTCCATCTCATGTTCCCCCTAATTTTGTAAATTTGCTTTGTTTCTTTGGCTATTTTACAGTACTTAGAGGCAGTGCATTCATTTTGCCTTGAACTGCCTCTAATAGATGCATTATGGCTTTCTAGCTGAGTTGCTATTAGTCTGTTAAGATTCAACAGTTGTAATAGTGAATCACAATTTAATAAATACATTCTTTCCAGCTAAAAAGGCAGTAGAAGAATCAGAAGAAAAGAAAATAGCTCAGTCAAAGAAAAGGATTAAAGAATTAAGAATTTTGGATGGAAAAACCGCACAAAATTTATGTAAGTGATGTCACATGCATTAGGCGACTATCTAATCAGCATATATATACAACTGTTCTTAAATGTTCTTTTTTGTTTACATGTGCAATATTCCTTTTCTAAACACTGGCTTATGTAAACTTGAGTCTTATGTTCAGAAATATTTTATGTACATATGGTTTGAATTCACTGTACAACTTCGGAAGACTTAAAGTAACATAGAAATATGGTGTAGACTTACATGTTAATGAATGAATCACCTTGTTGCCACAAACATCTTTCATTAAGTGCTTTAGACTAGAAGTATAATTAAATGGTAATCATTGGTTCAGGGAAGGCACTGTGTTTGTAGATTTTGTGGCTTGAGGTTGATAGGCCATTCCTAATGATGCTTTCTTGTTGGAGGTGTGGAGAAATAGAGCTTGATGGGCATTAGACTTTTAAAGAGAAACATCACAAAATACACTGTTAGGTGCAAATACTAGTACTGTAAATCGTGAGGAAAACAATCTCACCTCTTTATTTCCTTTTTTTTTTAAAATTTGCTGCTTCTGTATTCATTTATGTAGTGGAATCAATCATTAGGAGTACTGGATTCTTTGATTTGAATTAGAAATACCATAAAATGTCACTATTCCATTTATGCCTGTGGCAAAGGAAGTGTGTAACACCAAATCTGTGCATTGTTTATTACCACATCCATGAGCACATTTTCTTAAGCAGTAAATGAACTATGACACAAGTTCTATAAAACTTCAAGTTCTGAAAATATAGATGCAGGAAAATCCACCACAGTAGTTGGGTTGAATATAGAGCACTTTAATAAACTAGTATGCTAATCCATCTGTTAGAAATACTTTGTAGTTCATTGAATGGGGCTCTGTTGAGATGTTACAACATCCTGTGATCAAATAGCTTTGAGAACTCCATCTTTGAAAGGTGTACAATATACTTTGTCTCTTGTGTTAAGTTTAGTTACCCTAAGATGTGATAGAGTTAAGGGATTGTGTGTTGTTTTTTTGGTCTTTGACTACCTTTTTATTATCCTTTTGACACGGAATATTTTCTAGAATGTCATGTAAATATCACTCAGCCTATTGCAAATGCAGTACAGCTATTCATACTTGGTTATTAAAGCTAAAAATAATATAAAAAGTCTTCAGTTGGCTGAATGAATCTTTTTAAGTAGTAATGCAGATGTTGCCATTTATAAAAATAGGAGGTCATTGGTAGAGACAAGTAACACTGCTAGGAGGAGGCTAGCAGTGCTAGCAAGGCTAGTAATGGAGGCTGATTAAACAGTTGAAAGTGTTTTCACAGTTTCATTTCTTAGAGATGAAATTCATTCTAAGTTGAACTGCAATAGTGTGCCTCATCTAGCATTTGTTTTATGTAGGAAACTTCTTAGTTGTTTTATATAGGAAACTTCGTAGTTGTGAATCATCTTAACTTGGATCAAGATATGACTTTTAGTTGCTAGAAATTAAGATTGCGTTTTTATATCAATCTTTTTGACCTTTTTGATTCTAATTATTTATTACTGAATTACAGCAATATTTTTGGGTTCTTTCCGGTTGCCTTATGAAGAAATAAAAAATATAATTTTAGAGGTTGATGAAGAGAAGCTGAGTGAATCTTTGATTCAGGTATGTAAAAGTATCTCTGGTTTTGTTCATAGCTTGTTTTCCATGTAAAAATGCTGTAAAGGTATAAGAATTCAAGAGTAAAAATAGTGTAAAGTTTTCCTGGCTATCAGTTACAAGTGTGTCAGTTGTTTATTGTTTTGTTTATTTTACTTTTACTTTAGAATGCAGTCACATATAGCAGTAAAACTGTCTTTAAGGCAATCTCTGATAATGCTAGTTTTTCAGTTTCAAAGGCAAACATTTACCAGATTCAGGCTGGTGGATAATGAATTTTCGTCAGGCTTCTTGTGGAAACAATTCTGCTTGTCATTAATGATAGATGAATCTACCTGAATGTTTTGGGATACTGCTACAACCCAAAAGCCATCTATACATCAAACTTGCGCTCAAGCTGCTTTGGTCTTATTTTGAGCCCGAAATCTCTCAGCAGGAGAGAAAAAAGTATGGAATACAGCTTGTTTACATCTCTGATTTCCTCACCGTAGGAGGAGAGCATGTGTGTACACTGCCCCTCATGATCAACAAACTCATGGGTTGAGATAAGAACAATTTAATAATTGCAATTAAATGAAATAAAACAATTTTAGCAATAATGCTAATAATATACAATGAAAATAATGGAAAGGAAAACAAATTATACAACTGCTCACCACCCACCAGCAGACCAAGAGCCAGAGCTGGAGCCGGGGAGAGAGAGTCCACCCCTGGCCCAATCCCCAACCCTTCATATACTGAGCATGATGTTTCATGGAGTGAAATACTCTTTTGGCAGTCCAGGGCAGCTGTCCTGACCGTGTCCCCTCCCAGCTTCTTGTAGCAAAGGAGTTGGGAACACAGGCACAGCACCAGAAACTGTAAGTTCTTGGCTTGGTACAAACACTCCTCAGCAACAACTGAAGACGCTGGCGTTATCAATACCCTTCTCAGTACAAATCCAAAACACAGCCTCACAGAAACCCAAAACATAGCTTCATGCTTGCTAATGTGTAAGAAAATTAGCTCTGTCCCAACTAAAACTAGTACACACCCCAGTGATACTGGTGTTGAATTGGTTTATTTTAATATCGTACACAGATTCAGATTCTAGCTAACACCCTGGGCATCACTTTATCTTTTTGTTCTTTCGTGTCTCCTGCTTGTATTATTACAAGTTTGTAAAATCAGAAATCAACAAGGAGGGGAAAAAACCCCACCTTGAATACCTCAAAACAGAATAGTGTCATATCGCCATAGTTATCTATACAACACATATCTTGAGACCTAGATAAACAGAAATAGGGTGTACTGTGTTATGCTGAACTATAAGGTCGTGATCTTGCATGTTAATTGTAAAATGCTGGAAGTTGTAATGGTTTCTTATCAGTTGGAAATGATTGAGGAGAAGTAACCGTGAGTCTGTGCTCAACAGGACACATAGAGCTGCCACTGCAGGGTAGCTGTGTGTGGAGCAGCTAAGCCCTCACCCAGCCTCAACCACTTGCCCTGACCTTCTTGTCAGTGTGGAGGGGTGCAGATTCCCCACCCCAGTCTACTTGCAGAATGACCAGCAGAGGTGGCTTTCAAGATGCGTAAGCACTGTTCTATAGTAGCTAAAACACTGCTGTGTTATCGACACTGTTTTGGTCACAAGTCACAACTCCACTGTATGAGCTGCTATGAAGAAAATCGACTTCATCCCAGCCAGATCCAGTGCATCACAAGAGAAGGCAAATGTGATTACAGGGTGTCTCAGGTCAAGTATTTTCAGTAGAGAGGATAATTAATATGCTTTTGAATAATGCACTTGTAAGATTTTATCTGAAATACTCGATACATTTAACAAAAATGAATTTAAAATGGAGACACTGAACTTAAAAACTACTTAAGATGATTGAGGGATGGAGAAACGGTCTGCAGAAGGAAGCTAGCAAAGATTGGTTAGATTAGATCAGCAAAATAAATAGCTGAGAGGGGATGTGACTGTATGGGGAGAAGAGTGATGTGCTTAAGCATTGGGGAGAAAAATGAACTAAAAGGCAATATTAACACCAGGATAAATGTATATGAATTCACCATGAATGCAGCTATCTAGAAAATCATCTGCCTGTAATCTTCATCAAAACTGAGGCTTTGGAGATTGGTCCATTCCTGAAGGGAATGATGTGGCAGCATTACCTCTGATAGCAGGGAGATTTAGCTGATAACCTGGAAGACATTCTTTCTGTGTTTCTAAAGATGTTCTTAATAATGTATTGGGGTAAATGGGCTGTGTCATCTGTTTCACGTTCAGTCTATTCCAGATTATTTTTATTCTAATATTCTGAGTTATTAACTAATTTACTGGTTCAGTAGTTTTCAATAGTAGTGATTAGAACAGTTTTACAAAGCAAACCTTGCTTTCTTTCATGCTTAGCAAAACTTGTACTTTATAAAAATGTACATGTAGAAACCACTTTGTTCCAACTAGTAAAGTGGTGAAAGCTAAGTGAGTATATCATAACTGAGCATATAGAGAAGTGTTTTTTGAGTTATGCTTCTCAAGTCCTTGTTTCTCACTGCTTTTCAAGCTGACGTAATATTTACTGCAATTAATTGGGTTAATCAGTTTGAAAACATGGTAGACTATATACTGTTGTAACTCTTCCTTGAGGAAAACACTCTAGGAAAAAATCTTCTCAATTCCTGGTGTGTCTTTGAGACACAGTGTTCCTGTAAACGTACAGTTGTCAAACACCATGATTAACAGAATTCAGGGCATTGTGACAGAGAGGAGTGAGCGGTAGTTTGATTAGATTAGCAAAATACATAGCCGAGAGGGCGTGTGACTGCGTTATAACTGTACGGGGAACAGAGTGATGTTTATAAGCACTACGGAGAAAAATTAAGTAAAAGGCAACGTTAACACCGGAAATGAATCTATATGAATTCATCATGAATGCAGCTATCTAGAAAAGTGGCTGCCTGTAATCTTCATCAAAAGGCTTTTCACAAGGACTTGTAGTGACAGGACAAGGAGTAATGGGTTTAAATTGAAAGCAGGGAGGTTTAGATTGGACATCAGGGAAAGATTCTTCACGGAGAGGGTGGTGAGGCACTGGCACAGGTTGCCCAGAGAAGCTGCGGATGCCTCATCCCTGGAAGTGTTCAAGGCCAGGCTGGATGTGGCTTTGAGCAACCTGGTCTAGTGGAAGGTGTCCCTGCCCATGGCAGGGGGGGTGGGACTAGATGGCCTTTAAGGTCCCTTCCAACCCAAACCATTCTGTGATTCTATGATAGTTTCAGCATCTTAATGTCAGCCTTAGACTTGTACTTCTTTTAATGTAAACAATTTTTATTTACCCTGTTTTTATTGAAACCCACATCATGATGAATACATTATGAAACTCTGTTTCTTAAAAGTACTGACAAGGGTTGAAGTATTTGATCACTGAACGCTTCAGCTTCTTTTTAAGTTGTTCAATACAATTGATGAAAGCAGACTTCTAAACACAGGCACACCCCCTGCAGTGCTAGTAGAGCCAAACTCTTAACAAGGTGAGGGTAAAAGGAATCAATGTGTTAGCTCTAGACCATTAAAGGGGTGTGGATGAGGAAAAAGAAACTATCAAGCATGCTAACAGATTTTGGTTATATGGCTAAAATAAGTGGCTGTTTGAGTAGTAGATACTTGTATTTCTGCATTGATAGAAACAATCATGTTTTACATTTCTGACAAATACCATGAAATTATTGATGACAGCATTTGGTAAATATCCTACCTAATGAAAATAGGTTAAAAAAATAGCATTAGTTAGTTCATGTCTTTGATCTTTACCAGCATTAAACAGTCAGTCAAATGAGCAAGAAACTCAGGTTTGAGCACAAGGCCATGGCTTAGTTGTATGACATCCAGGTGAATTTGATGCTTGTCTCTGTCAAGTATATTGAACTCTGCTCGCTGAGACACTCAATAGCTCCCTGGTATAAGTGTAAAAAATCTTACTCTAATGGGGATGCTTTGTATGAGACTGCTTGTCATCTTTATTTTTCCTTATTAAGGTGGGCGAATGTTTGATTCTTTCAGCTTGGAGAATTAAGTTAGCTATTACTTACAAATTCAATAAATTAGACTGATGCCTTTCTGAAAGTTGTACCTTAATGCCTACTTCATCAAGGCTGGTAGAGTGATCAGTAATTAAATCTCCTAACGAATGAAAATATTGCAAGAGTGATGGCAAGATTGGTATGTTCTAAAAATAAGATGTGTACCTCTCATAGTGCAGGTTTTCTCCAATTAAGATTTTTGTATCTAGAAAAATACACTTCTATAGTGCTGGTTGCTCTTCTGATTTTTGAAAGGCACGTAACTTTTTTTCGTATCAGTCTTTAAGTGACAGTGATTATTGGTTCTCTAATAGTGTCAGTGTGCATATCCCTTCTGTTTTATTCCTATCTTAGGGGAACACGTGGCAACACACGTTTTCTGGTGGGAGGGGAGGAGAATTGCTGTGCTAATAACCTAAGCAGAAGAGCTTTAAGTGAAAGCAGCACGTTCTGAAATGTTTTACTTCTTTAACTACTGTTGCAGAAAGTATCAGAAGATTTAATTTTTGTAGTCTAGCACATTGCCTTATCTTCATTAAAATCTGAGTTGTAATTAAAATAATAGGGAATTGTATATTCCATAGCCAAATTCTTGGATGTAAACCTCTCAACCTGATGGTGGTTCTACCATTTATGTATACAGGTTGCAGAGGGTGACTTCATAAATTAGGGGCTTCTTGTAGAAGCAAGTGGACATACCCCTTTTCTCTTTAATACTTCTGAAACCACTGTGGGTGTGTGTAGAAGAAAAATTACTACTTTTGGAAAGCATTTTTTTTGTAGTTATTTGGTACAGGAGCCAGCCTGCTGTGGAGTTGGTTGAATATCATGTTTGTTTTTCAAAAGTTATTAATAACAAAAGTCTGCTACTTCTTTGACATATTAAGTGTCTATAGATTATCCAGCATACAGAATCCTCCTCCTTTTCCTCCGTGGTTAGGCAATTACCCCACAAAAAAACCTCCTGAGGACCACACTGCGAAAGCAGTAGAGACTGTTCACCTAGACCCTGGAGGTATCTCTGCCTCTTTTCTATAGGTAAATGTCTCTTACTGAGTGTCTGGTTTCTTCAATGTCTGGTGCTTGCCCATAACTCAGCACCTGTTTAAGTTCCACAAAATCATACTTGCCTCCAAGCTACTACAGTAATTTGGATCCATATCCAGTATCCAAAATATTACATTATTTTTCTTTCCTATTTTTTTCTGTGGTCTTTAACATGAACAAAGGTAGCTAGTGGAGATTGATGAAGGAAACAAAGTAAAGGGCATCCTCTGTGTGTAATGATAGCAGCTAATAATATTTTATTACACCTTTTTTTTTGATCTTAAGTTTTGTGAACCTTTTTGAAGGCCTATTGATGCTTGTTTGAATGCGAATGTCTACTTTTCCCCTTGAATTACATGATTGTAAAATATAAGCGTATAAATACATATAAATATTCAATGAATTTAGCATATCTGTGTGTTGAGATGTTAAGATCATATAATAAATCATACGGTCTTCTTGGGGGACATAGATAAGATTTGAAGCAAGTTCTACATTTTGCTGCGTTCCAGTATGGTTGCTATCCAGAAGACCTGTAAGATTTGACAAGTTGGTCTTTTTTTGTGTAAGGTTTTTTAAAGTGACCTTTGTGTATAGTTATGTTGAATAATGTCTAAATATTTTTATTTTTTAGGTACTTATGTCTTGCTTTACACAGACCAGTTATTTCTTGAGTGATAGTTAAAGAACAAGATGCAGTCATAGAGGGGAAAAAAAGGCTTGTAGGTGGAGTATAATTCTTCACAGCATCTAAGAGTTTTGTGTAACTTTTTAAAACTGAAAAGGGATTCTTCAAACTAGAGAGTGTAACAGAGGTGCTGGTGTCTGTTAAATAATTACTGGTTTGATTTGATGTTTATATAGCATAAAACCTGCGTAAATTAAATAAGCTTCCAATAAGTTCCTCATGCATTTCCATGTTCTGGCATTTTAAGAGTGTTAGTTTAAGATCTCAGCTAGTTTAATATAACAAATTTAATATAATGGCTTGTTTGTTTTAGAACCTAGTGAAGAATCTTCCTGAGCAGAAAGACCTCAATGCCTTAGCCGAATTAAAGGATGAATATAATGATCTTGCTGAGCCAGAACAATTTGGAGTTGTGGTAGGTATTAATGTAATAATTAACTGAAGGGTTCTATGTTGTCAAATAAAATAAAGAGTTAAAAAAAAAGACTTTTATATTTTTATTTATTTTAAGTTTAAGTTATTTTGGTTAGTGCTTTTCTTAAGTTTTGCAGTAGGAAAAAATTACTATTTATTTATTGATGAGTAATAATCTAAAAATTTCTGTAAATGCGTATTAGGAGTTTTTCTGGAAGGAATTATGCTGTGCCATTAAGAGCAACAGGCACTACTGTGTTAGACCAAATCTTTTGTCTGAATGTCTTGTCTTACATGTTTATTAAAAAGTTATAGAGAACACTCTAGTTTCACGTAGTTAAATTTCCAAGAGTTCATAAAAGTCTCATGAACTCACTGGCACTGTGAACTTCAATAAATTTATTCTGTTGTATCAAAAACTGTAAGGTTTAATATACCTATAATATCTCATGTCATGTTTTATCCTTTGGTTAAAAAAACCCAGAAAGTTTATATACACATCTATAAGTCTGTATACAAACATAGGTTGTATCCATATATATGTAGAATATACATGGATACATACAAACACATAGAAACTTTCAAAACTGCTTTGGAAGAAGAGGTGTGGATTCATATTAGAACTGAAACTGTACATTGTATTGTGTTGCTTTTGCTAGTGTTCAGTACCTATATCTATTCCAAAAGTAGGGATATCAAGTATTCTAATGGCTCTGAAAGAAATTATAAAATTTGCGTAATTTACCCTAATAAATGCTGATATAAAACTGGAATGCTGGATAGAAGAACTCACCCATATATATAGCTATATATGGATATATGCAGCTATATATTATATGCATATAATCTGCATTATATTCTACGTACACGTATGTGGGTGTTTAAAAAATATGTTTAATGGCACTGGAGGAATACTTTGTTCCGTCTTTGTTATGCAACACACACTTTCCAAGTATCTAAAACAATGTGGGAGTCATTAGGACAGATGAAGACTCTTTCTATGAAGTCTATTCACTTACCTATTAAAATAAGCAGAGAAGTTCAGAAAATTGTTCATAATAACCTTGATTTAAAAGATTCCATAGACATTCCTCCGTTTTACTGCTCTTAAGTTCCTTAATGTTTTACCTGGTCTTTGCAACTTAGATCCTTTCACAGCTCTATGCCTTCTTATGCCACACCTTTCCCTTTATAAACCTCATACCTACCTTGTCTCTTCTGCTTCAACCTTTCTCCCTTACTTGGTTTCAGAGCATTACTCTATGGCTTTTCTCTCAGGATATTTCTGGAGTGGTATGCTGTTAATCTGCACGCACCCATCATGCTGCTCGGTGGAGGGTAGTAGTAAATTACCCTTCTGCTGAGGAAAGCTGTGATAGCAGCTCTGCATACGAGTTTTCAGAACTGGAGTAATGATACCCAAACACTTCTGCAGAGATGATGTGCCGGCTGCTTTTTTTTGTGGATAAAATTATTTACCCAGTTTCACCTTTGTGCAGAAGGTATTTTGAGAGATAATCATTAGAGTCTGCAACTTCTTTAATCACCTCGTCTGAAATTTTGGTGGGGCATAGGACAGGCAGGATCAGGTATTGCATTTTGCACTAATTTGGTCATAGTTGACTAATGGCCTTTTCACTTTGGGTATGTGCTAATATGCTGCTGGAAATGAAAGACTGAAACTAAATGTAAAGTGTAATTATTATGGATATCAAAAGGCTGATCCAAGACAGTAGAAATCTTTTTTCTAAAGTAAAGAAAACCTACCAAAAAAGTAAAAAAGCCTATTTCATTCTTTGCCACACATTTAACTTCCTCTTGGTTAGATGAGTATGAATTTGGTAAGTAAAAGAAGATAACTGATAATCTAATTAAACTCTGTGTGCATTGGCTGCACAATGAGTACAAATGACAGTGCAAAAGCTTTCTGTCATCAAATGTGAAGTACTGAGATAGTACAAAACCTAAGCATGTGAGACCACTTGGAGAATGTTTTTGTTTCGTATCCAGAAGATTATTTACCGCCAGCTCAGAAGATCCACAGGCTAGAAGGAATAGTTCTTTTGCTTTGTCTTGGTGTAGTGGTAAACCAGAAGGATTTAATAAAGCTGCTAATATATAAGTAGTGTGTGTTAAGTATGTAAAGATAGCAAGTGTTTTTATACACTTTTTACCAGGGTTTGAATTCATGTCAATTTATCTTTTACTGTTAGATGTCTGAAAACCACTTTAACTGAGAGAAGCAGCCTTGGGGTTTGGCCACTGTTGCATAGTTGTGTATGTGGTTGGTTTTGGGTTAATCAGGTGTCTATCAGTTAGGTTTAATGCTTATTCTTTTTTCCTCATTCTTTTCATATAGTAGCATGATTTGGTTTTTTTTCTTGTAATCTTTCATTCTGGTTCTGCTGGCAGTGTCTTTCCCAGGAAATTATACAGCTTAAATGAAAGTCACTTGAGAAACTGTATCGTCTCTATTGTTTGTCTTAAATATCTGGGAAATGTGCATTTATCTGATTTGTGATTACTACTGGATTGAAACTAACTGGTCCTTGTTTTTTCACTCAACTGTATTAAAATGTTGTAAAAGTATTCTTATTTTCCAACAGTACTAATGTAGTCATTAGACTGACTACAGAAAGTTAGAAAGAATGGAAAAGTATTTAATGGATAATTAATTAGGAAAAAATACTTAGTTGAACATCTCCAAATGGTGATGTTTGTGTTATGAAGGGACTTGACTGGAGTCCTTTTTCGCTATGTGTTGGATTAATTTCAGAGTTTTGCAGTAATAATAATCTTAACCTTGATGTTAAGAAGAGTATGTGTGGGAATAGAAAAAGAGAGAAAGATGTTAAGGAATATTTAAAATGCATACCCTTGTTCATTTCTAAATTTATCTGTGTTAATTTTAAAGAGATATTAATTGGATAATCACTGGGCCCATCACATTTAATAAAGGTTAGAATAAGTTGCTTGAAATTTGTGTAGAAAAATATATCATACTTAGTAAACGATTAACTTAGTAGAAGATGCGAATAACTTAATAATCAGTGGATTTGTAAATGCAAAATAGAATTGAATGAAATGTTAAAATTTGTTATAACTTCAAATTAGTTATTGGAACTGTTTTTGAAGTTATATCATGGGATCAAAAAAGGCAACACCACTTCATTTATAGAAAAATTTGCATTGATGTTCAAATGGAGCAAGAAAGACAAGATTAAGTGAATCAGCTTAAAAAAATAGGCAGAATGTTCTCTGATTTTTAAATGTAAAACTTGTGTTTACACAAATATGGAGTTAATTTTATTATGTCATGGGAACAGCTGCAACTTCACTAACGATATTTGCTTTCAATTTTGGTTCCAGTTGAACAGTTCAATATTATAACAGCATAAGTCTCATCTGTGCTATAAAGTGTGAGTACCAACCATTTCCTGTCAACTCGGAGGAGAGGCTAATTAAAAAATACATCTTTTGCTATGCTAGTTAACTCAGAAAACTTTACCCACTTTCCTTGACTGCCAACTGTGAGTTTTGAAGTAAACTTAAAAGGAATATTACCACTTTTAAAAAGATCACCCACAATAATTTGGTGCAAATTTTAATAAATAACTTCAGTGAGCCAACAAAACAAGTGACTGGAACTGACCAAAGAATTCCCTTTCTTGTGAGTGTTCTAGAAAAGTAGAAGGTTTTTTTTTCTGATTTCTAGTGAATGCCAAAGTTCCTTTGGCTGTTAAGAACTCGGTTGTCAGTAATGTCATTGTTAATGCAAGCAGGTAAGTTTCACTGAGTAGCTGTGAAGACTTGCAGATTCTGTGACCCTTTTTGCTGTACAGTCAGGATTAGCTATCCTTAGCAGTTCTTGCGGGGAGGTAGACAAAATGGGAAGAATTGCACAAGTTTATTGCACCTGCATTGGTTTACAGTCATTCAGTTATTAATTGAATTTATTTTCCACTTGGTTTGCCTTGTTGTAAATTCTAGAGCTGCTGAGGAATTAATCTTTCTTGAACATCGCTAAGGAAAAAAAAAGAAAGTAGCTATTAAATATGTTATAGATAAGAGGCTGAGTACCTTGTTTGAGTAAGTTCACAAATTAGTATCATGGTAATGTCAGCTTTTTTCCTTAGGAAGTGAGGCAAATTTATTTGTGCTTTTTGCCTCTTTCTCCAATAACCTTTGATCCTACTTTTAATACAGGGCTTGAGAATTGTATGGTGATAGTAAACAATAAAGAACTGAATTAAGATCTTGATTAGGTAGAGAATTCAGACAAGGAGCTTTGTGAAAGCCCAGGAGGTGAAATAATCGCATGCAGTCCAATGTTCAGAGTTTGCTGGAAAAGAAGTACTCATTTTTTTGCTGCTTTAACTGTTTGAGGTGGAAGCTAATGTTACTCTTACATACACCTATTTGAATGTTTTATTTCATATATGCCTTTCACACTCATTTTTTAGACCTATAATTGATGTGACCTTTTTCTTAGTGAATATAATCATTGCACCTGACCTATTTACAGAAGATTCCTCTAAATTCATTATGTTTATCAGCCATTCAACATGTGCATTTAGCAACATGCATGTGGAAGAGAAACTGGGGCAAGGTGGGGAAGGAGGAAATAAAATAATATGTGTTCATCTTCTGTTGATACATAGAGACGATAATATATATGAAAATGTTTTGAATTGTAGGGAAGCAACCTGCTTGAAACAGCTGTTATGAAATTGTCAAGATACTTTTAAAGTATTATGCAGATCAGGAAACAAACAAAACTTACTACTGGTTTCGTAGTCAGTGCCTTGCAAAACAAATGAATGGTCAGTGTTCTGTGACACTTTACGACCTTCAAAACGAAAGAAAGTACAGACTGACTCAAGTTTTGTGAAGGATTATTTTTCACAAGTGTTTAGGTTGCACTGTTCAGCTGGCTTATACGTTTTTGTTGCGCTCTGTTTTCAGGATCTAAAGCTTTTGCCAACTTTTTCTATGCAATTTTGAGTACAATCAGTAATTGGAGACTGTTCTAAAAAAGTTAAAGCAAATTATGGGATTAATTTCAATTTCCATCTACGGCAGCTCAGTGAAGGTAGATCTTTCAAGGCAGATGTTTCTGGTATGGTATTTCTGAAATAGAGAATGATTAGAAGAATAATATTTCAAGACTTTGCATGATGTTGGCTTATAGAGGCTCACAGAGAAATTTGTGACAATGGAGTTATGCTGAAATGCTGATTTTCTGATCCTTTCCTTTTCCTTGTTCCAGTTGGATCATATGAATTGTTTGAGACCATCTGGAGTGCTTCATATTTATGTTCATTTTAGTATAAATTCATCATTATTCAGGCCACCCAAGTCTTCCTTGTGAAAATTGTTGCTGCTGTTTCTGGTGGCTGGCTCTGGAAGATACCATCAGTAGGAAAATCATGGTTCCTCAAGGAGCCATGGTAAAGCTTTGGGCAACAGAGACGTGAGCTCATAAAAATCTGTTTTGATAGCCAAGATCTGTGATATGTCACATAACAAAGCTTTTCTTTCAGGGGGACAAAGTGCTTCAGGAACACCACTGATAGTGAATACATTGGGGGAGAAATCTTTCTGTATTCTGCTATTTAAAATTAGGAGTTAGATTTGGAAGGTAATCATTCTTGTATTTAAATGAAAATTTTTAAGTGGATTAAAAATTTTCAGTACGTTTTTTTCTCTTTAAATCTCTCTTGTGCGCTATATCCACTGCTAAGAAGGAAGAAATATTACTGATCACTTGTGCAAAATATGAGAGACATGGACATATTTTGGAACCTAGTGTAAAGAAATTGGTATTGAGGATTTAAACTAATGAATTGCTATTATAGATACTTTTCAGTATGTCTGTCATTTCCCATATTACTATGCTGTGATTTATAACCTCCCATCTTTTTATCAGGTCAGGAAGGAATTAGTCCTTTACTACCTTTTTCAAAGTTTCTGAAACATAAAGGTGATAGCATCTTGGGCAGGAGCTTTACAAAATTTCTTTAAAAGGATAAAAAGACGAGAGGTTGAAAGGTAGGCAGTATGTTGCCTATGAAATTATGTAGAGCTTGTCATGAATTTTAGCCAAAAGCTCTTTATCCACCTCTGTGATTCTGTAATTCTAACGTGAGCTGGCTTTCTATAAATATCTGACCAGCAAAGCATGATCTCCTGTGTCTCAAACTCACTTAGGTGTTCCCATGTGCTTCCACAAGGGTCCTTAAGAACTGATCATCGCTCTCCCCTATTGCTCTCCCAGTGACCAAGAGCAAGTTGAGCACTTTGTGTCAGCTCAGAGAGTTTAAAAATGGAAAGTATAATTCTTTAGCTTACTCAGATTGAAGTGTAGCGGTTTGCATCTGTGCTGGTATCAGCACACACACTTGAGAGATTATTCTACCGTTTCTGACGGAAGAAATACTGAGAAGCTTCGTTTTCAGAAACTGGTAAATACCAGAGTTCAAGGGTAACTTCACTGGAGATGTGATGAAATATTGACTGCGTGTACCTTCAGGCTGATTCTCAGTTCTTGTTAACTGGTGGAAATGGCTTCTATTGCCTTTGCTGGGAGGAAGGGTTTAGGCAGTGTGTGTTTGTTGCCAGTGAATTTGGGATTGACAAGTTAAATAGTTCGGTAAACACAAAGCACTTACTTATTTTTGAAATGTTGCTTCACAGGCAAAGCATATGGTTTTGGGAAGAAGACCTGTGGCAGGTACAGATTCCTGGAAATACTAGATAGGCAATGAAAACACAGAAACTGTAGTCTCACAGGCTGCATAATACTGGTTTTTTATGTAAGTTGTTTTGCTTAAATAGCTTTTGTTTTTCTGATTTAATGTCTCTTATTTTGTAGATGAGTTCAGTGAAAATGTTGCGGTCACGTCTCAATGGGATCCTCTTCAGGCTTATGTTTGAAGAGCACGTGAACAATATCAAACCTGACATTATGGCAGTTACACTGGCTTGTGAAGAGCTGAAGAAAAGTGAAAGCTTTAGTAAGCTTTTAGAGTTAGTGCTCTTCCTTGGAAACTACATGAACTCTGGCTCCAGAAATGCACAGTCTCTTGGTTTTAACATCAGTTTTCTTTGCAAGGTAAGATGAAGCAATAAAATTTCTAAGTGCAGATTCATGAAATTTATGACATGTGAGCAAGTACCCTAAACAGAAAAACATTTAATCAATGTTGTTAACAGACTGCACCTCCTTTTTTAATAATGGATAAACAAATACCGTGTCAACGTTTCTAGGATGGTCCCCTGCTATAACTGTCTATCTCAGTGCAATGGCCATTTAAGGCAGTTGTTTAATTGTGGGTCTGGTCTGACTCTTTCTGGAGTATACCAGTGGAACAGCCTTTTTGATCTAAATTTTTTCAGCTGTCATCTTGTCAATAGAATGTACTTAGAGGTCTGAATATGTTAAGCAGCTCTAGCTACTAGTCATTGTTATCCTAGGTCTACTTTCAATTGTAGTGGCAAAGTATGGAATGCAACGAGAACATTAGAACCTGTAGCAGTCAGAATTTAATGTGCTGTGCTTGCTTGTTTGTGTGGTAAAATGTGTATAAGGCATTGATCTGAACATGATCATCTCACATTGTACCTTTAAAAGTTCCATTAAAATAAAGGAATGCAACATTTGTAAACAGATTAAAAAAAAAAAAAAGGTTAGCATAAATTTTGTAGAGGAATTTTTCAGTTATTTTTGTTTGGTCCAATCAGAGGGTCCAGGTTTCAAGTCCCTTTTTTGGGGACCATGAGGAAATCTGTTATATAACTCAAGGAGATTTGACCTTGAGGGAAGATAATATTTCATATACACAGTAGGTCTGATCTGACATATTTCAGTAAAGAAAGACTCACAGATTCACAGAGTGGAAGGGGTTGGAAGGGACCTCTAGAGATCATTTAGTCCACCCCCCCTGCCAGAGCAGGATCCCCTAGAGCAGATCACACAGGAACAAGTCCAGGCGGCTTTGGAAAGTCTCCAGGGAAGGAGACTCCCCCCCACCTCTCTGGGCAGCCTGTTCAGTGCTCTGTCACCCTCACAGGGAAGAAGGGTTTCCTCATGGTCAGGTTGAACCTTCTGTTCTCCAGTTTATGGCCATTGCCCCTTGTCCTGTCACTGGACACCACTGAGAAGAGCCTGGCCCCATCCTCCTGACACCCACCCTTTAGATACTGATAAGCATTGGTAAGATGCCCCCGCAGCCTCCTCTTCTCCAAGCTGACCAGACCCGGCTCTCCCAGCCTTTCCTCATGTGGAAGGTGCTCCAGGCTCTTCGTCCTCGCAGTGGCTCTGTGCTGGACCCTCTCCAGTAGCTCCTTGTCCTTCTTGAGCTGAGGAGCCCAGAACTGGACACAGCACTCCAGGTGAGGCTTCACCAGCATGGAGTAGAGGGGGACGATAACCTCCCTCTGCTTGCTTTAGTTTAATACAAAGTTGTTGCTAACTTCTGGTAAAATATAAAACCATCACCTGATAAATACTTTCATTCTTTAATAGCTTTTTTAAAGAAAGGCGAAGTTGAAGTCTCGTTTTCATAAATCTAGTGCTTGGTTTTCTTTTCAGTACTAGTGGACCTAAGGGAAAATTAATGTTTTACACAGGAAACTGCTTGTTGCTGAGGGGGAGGGGAAAGGATGGCTGTGCCTGAATGGTACTGTAGCATAGTGTGATTTGAGAAGGTATTCTTGCACTCCAGGTGATAGATTATGAATTGCTGTCAATGCAAATCTCACAGATGTTGACACAGCTCATGTAGATTGACTTTTCTGCAATTTGTTCTCTACTGAACTGAGCAATTGCTGAAGCATAGCTATCTGTGCTTACAGCTAAATTCCATTTAAAATAACTGAGACAAAAATCTATGACTATTTAATTCAGCCTTGCCCTCAGAAGCAAAATCTATTTGTTAACTTTTTTTTGTTTTCAAGACAGATATTTCTGAGGGAAGTGTTCTTTTATTTGGTGTGTGTGTGGTGTTTTTTGTGTTGGTGTTTTTTGTTGTTGTTGTTTCCCGTCCCTGTGAAATTTAGAGGAAATACTTAAACATTCTCAGTAATAAAATGTTGGCTGTGCTGTTGTGTTTAGGTACTAGGTGTGTTTTGTTATGAGGTGAGGTCTAAAAATAATATAAAGACAGACAGTGATGGTGGTTAGAGCAAAAATTAAGATCTTAGCAAAATCTAGACATGAAATTGTATCATTAATAGCTCTACCTATTGATTAAATCTTATGAAACTATGACTCATAGGTTCCAAATTCAAAACAAGTCATTTAAGTTAATGGAAGTGCAGATAAGTTTCTCCAGACAATGACATGTGCATTGTCTGCAATTTAGATTTATTGTTTATTACTCAAGTTAAAAGATATTTTCTGCTATTTAAAACTCTGGTTTTCATTGCTTTAGCTATTTGCCATTCTAATTTGAATTAGATTAGTATAATAATGTGCTTTTTCAAGAGCATGTTATTTTTCTCTCAAATGGCTTTATACCTGTACTTATGCTTTAGTATTCTATTTAGAGAAGTAACCTTCTACTCCATTGATATTTCATTTTATAAATAAGAGATGTTTACACATTACTCACAATGGATATTTTTAAGATTATTGTGAAGAATACAAATTTATATTTGGGTAATGACTCTTTTTGAGTTAGTTATTTTCAACTGATAATTGCCTTTAGTTCGTTTGTTTAATAGCTTTCAAATTCTGCCTTCCCATTTTCCACTCAGAATAGTAAGGTGGCTTTATTGACTCTGTGTTACTAACTAACAGTACACTCTGACAGGCCTTTGTTAACTGTTATGCATAATACAAAATATTCAACTATATCAGGTGGTAACACCTTTTGTAAGCACCGGCTTTAATATCTGTCTACAGCCACTTACTAGCTTTATTACATTACTAAAACAGTCTCAAAATGTGCAATTGGTCAATAACTGACCTTCACTGACAATGGAAGATTGTGTATGTGTAAGCATTGGTGAGCGTATTATCCTCTTTGCTGAAATTGTGCTGTGAATTAAAATTTCTAATTATATTTTGTGGGTGAAGAAGGCAGTAAGAGAAATAAGTGACATCTAACAGCAAGTACATGGTAGCAGTTGGTTTGTCAGCATCCTGAGGCTTACTAAATTTTGAAGACTCCGTGAACACTGAAAGTTCTCTTTTTTTGGTGTGTGTCTCTGGTGGCAGTTTGAGAAGGCACTGTTAGCATATTAGAGGCTGTCTTTGAATAATTTTCAGGTGTCTTTAATTCTTCTCCCAGGCAATATATTTCATTTTTCACACTTTTCTGGAGGAATTTGAGAGCCTTTATTTTTGTATTTTTATAGAATACCTGTGAATCATAAAAACTACTGATTTATTTTAATATTATGTGAATTGTCTTGTACTCTGATTTTATGTATGGAACCATGATGAGCAATAGATGTTACAAGTTTTAAGTCACCCTTCCGTAACCTTAGGTACATTGCTAGATTAGAAGTCAGATAATAACGTGCCGAAGAAACCTTGTTCTAATTTTTGTTTTGCTTGCCATGAAACCTGCTGTTACATTCTCCCCCCTGCCCTCCCCTTCCCTCCCCAATCACAGAACAGTTTGGGTTGGAAGGGACCTTAAAGATTATCCAGTTCCAACCCCCCTGCCATGGGCAGGGACGCCCTCCCCTAGACCAGGTTGCTCATCCAGCCTGGCCTTGGTTTTGAGCAACTTAAGAACAGGGAGAAGAATTCCTTACCAGTTTTAAATATTATTTGCCTAAAGTAAAAACTGATTCAATAAGAGATTTAAAAATCGAGCAAGACCATCTGGCTTAATGTTTTAAAATATTGGTTATTTCTTTGCCTAATTTTTTTACTTTTTTTTTTTTTAAATTCTTATGGTAAGATACTTGATGGGACAAAGTAAGGTACAGTTAAAAAAAATAGTACTACCCTCTGAATATTGTTGTTTTGGAAGGAATTCAGCTGTTATGTGAACAGAATTTTATAATGAGTCACTAGCTAACTGTGACTCCCTGATAGTTTTTAGCTAGTCTTTACTGTAGGTTGATGTTTTGCCCGAAGACAGGGATTTAAGTCTCAGGAAAAATAACCAGAACACATATTAGGATAAAGAGAATTAAATGATAGGATATTTAATCAATGATTTTTAAAGGCTTGATGTTTGTTGGTTTGAAGTTTTTAGTTTGAGGCTTTTTTTTTTTTTTGGACCAGTGATTTCAACAATTTTATGGCATTGGACTTTCTGTCCATGATAAGAGAGCTTTTTCTTTTTTTTGAGCCAGCTGCCATCGAGGTAGAACACACTTATCTGTGTACATGTTTCTTTGTGCGGAATACACAGAGTTAATTTATGATGAGGTATCCGAATGGGATGAATTCACTTTTCAGTAAAACCTGATTTTCTTCCCCCCCTCCCTGAAAAATCTTAATATGAATTGTGTGTTTAGTAGGTGTAGTACTTACATTATATGATCTGAAAAAAAAGAAAAGAAAAAGGGTAGGTATTGATCTGGGATAAGTATTTGCTTTTGTAAAATAAATGTTCTTAGAGCTGGTCATTTTGTACACAGAAAGCTGCTGCTGTGTAACAACTTCTATTAAAATGATAAAGCAAATAAAGAAAAGAAAGCATTGATTCAAACCTGTCTGGTCGTAGCTAAAAAGCTATTGAAATCCTTAAAACGGGATTATATTTCTGGATATTACATTGTAGTGTATGATGTTGAAGAAAGAAATTACTTGTAAACACGCTTTGTCAGAAGACAAAGAACTTAATTTTGTTCAAATAAGAGAGATCAACATTAGAATTCATGCACTGTATGTAGACTGGCAAGCAGCAGCGACAACTCTGATGTATGCAGTAGAGCATTCATGATTGCCTAAGTGCTCTGTGAAAATATAAATATGGCAGAAAAAGTAGTAAAGTTCAGGGAGGCTGCTGTAAGTAGTTCACCAGAGATAAATCTTTTCACCAGTTCTGTTTGATTAACGTGTACCTATGATCTAACCGCCGTTCTGAACCCCTATTGCAGCAAATGCTATCTTTTATTGAGGACAGGAGAACCCCTGTAGTTCTATAAAGTTATGTTAGACAGAAATTTAATTGAAAGAGAAGAGGTTTGCTTTAGTCATATGTAGAGTACAACTTCTCTTCTTGTGGTGAATTAATGTAAAGACTAATAGCAAACATTCTTCTGTTCTGATAAAGCTTTTGTCATATTCTATCTGGATCAATGTGTATATTACATAGTAAGTAATATTCTGCTACTTCTTGTTCACAGGGCAAATAGTACAAAACAAACTGATTATCTAGCTTGAGTATTACAGACTAGTGTTCTTAGTTCCCCAGCCACTTCTCTTGAGAAAGATTTCTAGGATATGAAAAGTTAAAAGTTATACAGTCTCATCAAAATCAATAGAAAGGTTTTTTTTTTTATAGCTATAATATTCAAATGCCACTCTAGTGGTAGTTAAAACATACGTAAGATTTTTCTTAGGTTGGCTGTAATTTTTAACCCTCGTATCTGAAAGCTTAATTCAAAAGTGTCAGTTAAAAAAAGAAATCTGGAAGTCAGTTATGGTATGATTTGCATGTTTTTACCAAGATACTACATGTAACGGGAGATTTTTGTTAGATTGATGTTATTTCTGAGATAGAAACCTAAACATCATACTCTGTGTGTTACTTGAAAGGGTGCACTGTGAGTGTTAGGCGCTTTGCGCATGAGTCTTTAATTCCTTCCAAACAGTGAATCTGATAGTATTGACCACTCAAACTGATACTTCAGCATTCAGCTGGAAGCTGCTTTTGGAAGCACTGATCTACTGATTATTTTTTTGTTTTGTTTTGTTTTGTTATGAAATGTGTTATTCTGAAATTCTGTCTTCCAACTCAAGAAAGCCCATAGAATCAAAACCTGTATATGAAAATTTTAATACCACAGTGTTAATGTCATCTTTATAAATACATAAATTTGGAAAACCTTGTCAGGGACATGCATTGCTAATGTTTGGCAAATGCTCTATGTACAGCCATTGATCTGCAAAAGCGTTTATGTTCCAGTGTGTTAACACTACTAACCATGTAGAGGTAAAGGAATTGTTTATTTTCCAGATGGTGAACTCTGTTAGTGTTGGTGAGGTTTGTTGATTTACCAAATCTTGGAGCACTATTATGACTTCCCTACTATGTTAATGCTTTGAGAATTGAAAGGATGAAAATACAGAGGGCATAATGCAAAAGCATTGAAAGGAAGTGATTGTTAGGATTCAGAAACTTGAGGAAATTCTGGCCACTTCTAAAGGTGTAACCCTCTGTACAGTCCACCTTTTCCTTTGCAAAAGGAGTATTTTGTGCACTGGCCTATGTCCATACATACCTACAATCATGAGGCTGGAACTCAGTAAGGCTGTGAAATGGATGCATGTTTTTCCGCTTCTGCTCCATTACAAACATAGCACCGGTTGGACTTTAGAGCCCATAGAATATTTCACTGAAGTATGTGTTTCTGATTCAATTGTCTCTTAACCTGCATTTTAAGAGACACAATATTAAAAAAAAAAAAGTTCTAACCACTATTTACTGTAAATCTCAGCTGCAGTTAGTTGTGAAAGGAAGAAGTGAGAACATAGAATGAAAAGGATTCTTTTTTTTCCCCATGATTTGTTCTTAGTGTGCTAATCCAAATAAAACATTGCTTTCGTTGAAAAGACATTGTTTAAACATCAGCTGCCTGAGGTTTTTTTTTCCAATAATAGTCTGTTTATCTACAGAAACTAGGTACTTAAGTCTTTATTTTTCTGTTTGATAACCTTTTAATGTAACAAGCACACTAAGAGTCTGTTGTTCATAAGTCTAGTACCTTCAACTTGCCTTTTCCCAGAGCTCTTGCTTATAAAAGGACAATTTAGCTTTATGCTGAAGGGCAATAATAGTATTTTAAAGTTCATTTTGTACTTAAAACAGTGATACTGTGATGTTCTGCATGTAAAATCCTGTACTTGGGACAGGCTTAAAGTCCTGCAAAGGTGGTGTCTGGAGAGTGGGATGCAACTCTGCAGACAAACCGGAGTCTTAGTGAAAGAACAGTGGTCAGTAGTGTGCCCTCGCAGCAGTGAAGGCTGGCAGCATCCTGGATTTTGCTGATGGGGCATAGATAAGAGATCATGGATAGTGAGTGTCTTTTTTTGCCCTTAACTCAGAATTTGCTGGGTGTTCAGTATTCTGTACAAAAACAACTTTTTGGTTGATAAACTTGAGTGGAGGAACACCAAGCTGGTCATGGGCTGGACCATTGCGGAAAGGCTGATGCAACTGGTCTTGTCCAGTTCAGAGAAACAGAGGTTTGGGGCAGGGGACCTGCAGCAACCTTCTGTACCAAGTACAAGGTACTGTAAAGGCAGAGCCAGGCTTTTCAGCAAAGTGCACAGGAAAAGAATGACAGACGGGTCATAAATTGAAACTAGGGACACTTTAACTGGATATGAGACAAACAGAACTCACTTTCTTAAAAGATGACTTTTTAAATCAAAATACCCAGAGTTGTCTTTTCGCTAGTGTAAAAAAAGTTAAATTTTACCCAAGAATAAACAGGGAAAGGAGACCAAAAATTTTCCTGAATGCAAATATACTCTGTGAATACAGAGAATGTAAACATGCAACCATGCTGTTGATAGAATTCCAGTTCCTATCTTTCATTTCTCTTTCTATATTTAAATAATATTTGTTAAACTGCCCTCCAGAAGCACCTATCTTCCTTACCTTATCATTCTATTAGTAGGTTTACAACTTGGTTTTTAAAGTATATATATTAAGTCTAAAGATCAGAGTTAAATGTTACTTGTCCTGTTTCTTAGGTATTGAAAACACGGCTGAATGTAGCCAAGAGGTGTTTCTTGATTGAGCCAAAGAAGTGAATTTGCTTAAGATCTGAATGACTGTTTCCTACAGGTTTTAAGCAACTCAGCAGGTGCTAATATTAACTCTTGTTAATACGATGTTACTGTTGGTGACAAGATGTGTTTTGGTTGTAATCTCAAGGAAAAATAATATTGTCCACTTAGGAAAAAAATGCTTTATCCACTTTACCATGTCAGAGAGATCAAAGACTGCAAATCCCACAGTTCTTGTTCACAGATAAATTGAAATGCAATTTCTTTTTACCATACAGATGTTTAGCCACTAAATCTATGATTTTTTTTTTCAAGTTGGAGAAACTTTTATGTACGTAACACATTAAACCCTTTTAACTGCATACCATTACTGAGCATTGGTTAGTCTTTAATCACCGAATCAGTATGAATTAAATTGAATTCTTAATTGCCTAAATACCTTATATTTTTAAAAGCCTGTTTTTCGTCTGCACTCATTTATTCTTAACAGGGTAATCCTTAAAGCTGAAAGGCCTCTATTAAATTGAACATCGATGGCAAGCCTGTCATGAGGATTATAGAATTAGAACTTCTAGTGATTTAGAGAATGAGAAAACAAATAGGAGATTTTACACACACATTTATGTATTCTTCTTAAATAAATCCTTGATTTCATTTGTTGTGTATGTTGTAGCTTACTTCTGTGTAAGAACTGTACTAGATGAGTTAGTAAAATGCAGTTTAAAAAACCCTTTACTGATATACTTGTAATACTAATTCTCTATAAAGAGGAAGTACAGTCATGTCAAACTCTTGCATACACCTACTGTCTCTATTTGCCTTTGTCAATAAGGGGTAATCTCCACTTCCACTAAATCTGCAATCAGCTCATACATTGTCGTTACGTCTGCGTATAAAAATGGACAAACTAAATTTGGAATTAAATTAATTTTCTCATTCTTTTACGTTCATGATGTTCCTTTGCATATACCCATGCTCTCTGCCATTGCATTTAGCCACAAATATCTATGTTTACTTGGAAATCTGCCACTAGCCCTGTATTTTAACAATTATTTCAGATTAAAAAAAAAAAACCCAAACTTATTCTAGCAGTTGATGCACTTAAGTTAATGGAGAGCAGAGGGCCGTATCATCCTCAGGAAGACTAGTTTTATTACAGACCACAAAAATTTTCCTCTGTAGTTGGGAGGATAGTGAAAATATGCAGTTGCTTACTGCTTCACACTGGGCACCAGTTTCATGCAGCTTTTCATAAATAAAACTGGATGTACTAAATTGCCTTTACTGGCAGTTAGGATTACCTTTGCTTTTCTGTTGTCATTCTGTATTCCAGTAGGACGAGGTGCATTTATTTCATGTGTCTGTAAAGCAAGAAAAGTCTTTAGGCTAAAGCAGTATGCTTTAGATTTTTCTTCAGTGAAAAATTGTAGGTTTACAACAAGGAGTTCATTTAACTTGACTGAAAAAAGCAAATTCTGGCATCTGGCCTGCTGTCCAGCTAAGTAGCATTTGAAAGGAATTCCTTTAGAAATCTGGCAGTGGGGGGCATTGAAGGAAGAAACTAAATTCTGGTCTGTTTAATCTTTGTTCACAGCCTTTTTTTTTTTAACCACAGCAAGCATTCTGAACTGGGATTGCTGAAATCTCAGAATTTTCTAGATGGCCTTTAGGACGTGCTCTCTGGATAATTAACTGTTCTTTAAAAAACACATCATAATGATAGATTTCCGTTGTAGTCTTAAATCATAAAGAACTGCAGAAATTTCATTTTTAAAATAATTTGATTCATTTGCAGGTAATCAGTGTAGGTAATGTTTTGCTAATTTACATCTGCAATATTCACTTCATTTGAAAATTTTGTTATAAAAAGTGATACTATTTTCTCTTTTTCTCCTGTATTCCCTTTTTAGATTAGAGATACTAAGTCATCAGATCAGAAAACAACCCTATTGCATTTTCTGGCAGAAATCTGTGAGGAGAATTACCGGGACATCTTAAAATTTCCAGATGAATTACAGCATGTTGAGAGTGCAAGTAAAGGTAAGCTAACAGATAAAACACCTACAGGTAGTAGCTGTTTTCTTTGACACTGAATACTTCTAACTTTTCATTTTAGATTGTAGGGTTATGTGACCTGTAAACACTGATAATCCACGTGGATTTTGCTTTCCTGTTACTTACTGACCTGAGGAAAAAATGAGGAGAGGAAAAACAGTAATAGAGTAACTTTTCTTCTAAAGTAGGTTGTGGAAATAATGGATCATATTTCAGTGAAGTGCTTACAGAATTATATGTCAGGAGCCGTGTAAGCGGGGTGGTGATGATGGTGTTTAGTTCACCATTAAGCCTTTGATGTCTTGTTGCTTGAGACTGAACACCCGCGTGTGTGGGTGTGCGTGCAGCCACACACAATGTGTTTCTCACTGATTTACTGTGTGAATAGAGAATAACAATGTTTTCTAAAGTTTCAGTCAGTGATTAATACTGATTCCTTGTTATTCCTTGTCAGTCAGCAGTATAGCCCAGCGAGTGTGATAGAAAACTGAAGCCATTTGTTAGATACCTTTTTGTGTGAAATACTCTGTGCTGCTCGGAGCACTTGTTGCTTAGCTGTTGAAAGCGAAGGCTGTGTGATGGTGGTTGATGAAGATATCTATCGCCAACTGTTGCATTTTGACTGGGCATTACTAATTCATCAGAAGTTAAATACCTGGGGGAGCACAGGAATATGAAAGGAGAGAAGGGAAACAAAGTTGGATACACGTTTCTGATGGCTGTATCCACTTGCTCTCTTTCAGTGTTATCAGTCAGTGCTTAGCTGTTAGACAAGGTACTGTTTTTAATTAGGCTATTGTTTTCTTTCAGTTTGTAGCCTTCTATCTTAAACTTCTGCCTAGTGAGAGCAGAACTTTTGTTTCCCCAAGGACTTAGGAAATAGTTTATCAGTCGAACTGTGCTGTTGTTACATTTCCAGTGTATTGTCAGATTTATGTGACTTTCTTTGTCATACAATTTTTCTGCTGTTTCTCAAACTCACAATTACCTCTCCATGTTGTTTTTTCTTGCATGTAGGCTAAATTTTATTTGCATTGCTTAAATATCCCCATTCTTCATTTGCCTCTGCTGATGAATACCTCATTGGTATGAATGCCTCTTGATAAAAAGGAGCTGATCTATGTCGGATTGAGGATGGTATTGTGTTTTAAGGCAGTGTAGAGAGTGAAGAGGTAACTTGTGCATTACCATCTTGAATGTACCATATATACACATCTATAAAAAGATAAAGGTGCATGCTTAAACAGTGTTCAGCTGGCAGCTTTTGTCTGAGCACTGCTATGGATCTTACACGAGGAAGTTTTACAGTTGCTGTTAATTTGGCTGTTTGCTTTCACTGTTGTTTGTTCCCAGCCTCTGATACGGAATCAGATAATTTTCTCAAACTGATCTTTCCCCACAGCCCCGACCTTTCCCAGTGTCACTGGTCTGGCCAGTGTGTTCACAAGGACTAACATAGTGATTGATTTTATTTCTGCAAACAGCAGTTTGTCATCTTAGCTCATTTCCAGAACTGCTTTCTACCACTTCACAGTTCTTTTGTGGAGGTGACTTTTTTAAGTTTAATCTTTTTCTTCCAGCTTCTCTTGTTAAATTCTTTACAAAGCCTTATGGTTTACCAGGCACATTCAATGATATTTCATTAATTTTCTCCTGTGGCTAATTCTTTGCCTTGCAGCTTTGAGATTTTATGGTTTGATTCAAAACCTCTGATGTTCTGTAACTTGACTTGAGGAATTCAACCAAAAGAGTTAGTAAAGTTTAGTTAAGGTATAGCATCCAAAAGAGAGAAACCATAGTAATGGGAGCCAAGTCACTGATAATCCTGATGCTTAGAATATATATGGAAAAAGGTTTTTATTGCAGTTAAATTTGTTTAATTCTGTAAGATAAAAGCTCATTACATTTCCTATAAACAGTGCTGACTTCTTATCAGAAGCATAAATTACTGTTTATTTTTAATGACCAAAATTTCCCTTTCAGCCCTTCTTTGCTTTCTGTAACAAAGCAGATTTGTGGCAGAATAAATGCGATTTGTACAATTTAGTTCACCTGTTCCCAGTGGTGCTTTTATGGTTTTTTTTTGTTTAATTGTAATGTTCATCTGCTCTGTCATGTGTGGTAATTTTTCTGTGCAGGTAATTCACATGCTTTGTGTGGAAGAAAAGATTTTCACTTCCGATTTATTGTTTGGTGTTTTATAAACCAATGGTTTATATAAACCAGTTAAGTTTATTTTTCCTGTAGGAGGTTTCTTTTGGAGTAAATTTGCTACAGATAGCGGGGCATTGACATCACTTAGTTATGCATAAAATAGGATGAAATCTACCAGCAAATATTATCTCTGTATGAATTTTAAATAAGGAGCTATGAGCAAAACGGATGACAGTCTTATTTCTTGAGATGTGTGCTGCTTACTTTTTAGGCAGACGACAGCCTCGTAGTTTGACCTATACATAAAATTCCAATACAAAATTTAGGAACTTTTTTAAAATCTTGTGTGCATTTTCTCAGTTCCACTTAAATAATAGGAAATTTTTTGCTTTAATTTTCATATAAGAGCAAGCATCAGAACAGTGGATGTATGATTTTCTTTTTTTAACAAATAGCAGATAAAGCATAAAACTGGATTTTAATATGAAAAGGTCAATGAGATTAGATGAACTGCCCTGCATGTACTAAAATCTTCAATAATCTGATATTAGGTATTATAAAATATTTGATCTTTTTAAGTATGGAAGATCAACCTAGAGGTTTATGAAAAGCAAAAATAAATTAGGAAACAGTTTTATTCTGGACAGTATAAACAGAGTTCAAACTGATTAATAATAATCAAGAGATTATTGTAAAAGCATTCCTTCTTACATGAAGCTAAGGGTATGAAAGGAAAACCAATTAAAAAAATCACAAGATTGCGTCAAGCTACATTATTTAGGGGAAGTGATATTCACTTATCTTAACCCAGTCTGCAGTGTTTTCCTCTTGTTTCCCTGCAGCTGAAACTATGCTAAGCCTTTTTTGATGTTCCTACTGTGTTCACTTCACTTGTTATTCCAGTTGCTACTTTTCATGATATTTGCTCTTACCATCTTACAGTCTGTGATTTTATTAAACACCTGACAAATTCTCATCCCTTTCTGCAAGTTCAGTCAAACAAAAACTTCAGAACAAAAACAAGAGATACCTTACTAAATTCAGATAAAAGTTTGGGTTTTCTAGACAAAAATGTATTGTACGTAGTATAATTTGGACTTCCTTAGAAAAGATACATACATTTTAACTTGAAACGCTGATTATCAAGCTTCTCAGAAATCGTAAAAGAAATACATAACACGTAAAACTAAGAGGATGAACATTAAACATATATTGTATAACAACAACTCATTTTCAGATTTCAGAAGAGCACCGGTTATAAATCACAGTTCATGGTTTAACAGTTATGCCTGTATTTAAAATAAAACATAACTATATCATCATCGGCTGGACATTGTGCTCAGCTCCTCCTGAGTTTGACAGTTCTTTACAGAGTTAAGTTATGGGCTTGCTTTGTCTGCCCAGAGTGGGTGGGAGTTACTGGGGTGTGTAGAGTCATGGGTTTTTGCAAACCTGTGTTGTCCCACTGGTCTTTACCTCAGAGACAGGTGGATACAGAATGCTGTTATCTGTACTTGGCCACTGGCCATTCTCCTTACATGCTGACCAAAGTGAAGTGATACCTTGTACGTAGCGAAGGAGTATCGGGTTTGGGGTGAGCTGAGCAGTTATGAAGCTGTTCTTCCAAGAACAGCTGAACTCCAAGCGAAGGGCTGAGCTTACCTCTGAATGCAGTATAGATAATAGTCTCTTTCAGAAGTAATGAGAGGTTTTTTCCCAGTGCTTAAGATACAGAATTCTGTGCCTGATATAAAAATACACCACTAAATAATTCTTTTAAAATGTTGTTAAAAGAAACACAGAGCATTCTGAGTAAAATTAAGTGAAAGATGCCTTGGGGAAGGTGAATTATGTGGGTGTAGTAGACTAGAAAGTACTAATAACAGCAGCACAGATTTCTCACTCATGTTGACACAAAAAATTTATTTCTTCAATTTGCGAGCATATGCTTCTGTCGGTTGAGGCATCTCTCTAGAAAGGACATTAGCAATCAGAAGCACTGTGGAATGCTAATATGTATATACTTAATATATTAATAGAATACTCTAAGAAAATATTAATTTTTAAATTCTGTACAGGTACTTCACTGTGATTTAATGCCATAATTTTAGAGCGGAGAAAATATTTTAAAGTTTTCTGTGCCATTGTTACTTTAAAGTATAGCAACTTAAAACATATTCATAAGTAGTAGTCATTTCTCTGTCAAACAAAAGTTTTATAGTTCATTGCAGTTGAAGAAACTGTTTTTACAGAGAGATCTGCAGTATTCTCCACCTTGCACTGTTTAAATTGCTGAAGCAGATTTTGCCCAATCTGGCACATTAGTGGATATAAAATAGACAATGCCTTCTGGTATGAGAAATTTAATGCCTGCATCTGTGACTTTTCTCTCTATAACAGAATCTGAAGTTGGCATTTTGCATCATAATCAAAAGTCAGTCTTGCACTGTAGAGTGACTTCTATCATTCTTTTCATTCACATAAACTTCAGTGTTGAAATGTCAGAAACTATCTCAGTGTGTTCTTCTGAATGTAGTAAATACGCAGTTAGGTACATCAAATACCAGAAGACCTTTTTTCTCTAGTAACACTCCTGTATTTGCATATAGCATCGCCATATTGGTGGTAGCTTATGCAGCATCTCATTAAAAGTTTTTCAACAGACTTCGTTCTCCTTCATTGACAAGAGTTACTGAAGAGGACAGGGAAGCAAAAACTTTGGACATAGTTTTTGTGTTGTAGTTCCAAGGTGCAATTTATAAAAGAGAACCCGTTGGATACCCACTAGGATTCTGGATTGGCTTACGCTCTGAAAAATTGCTTACTGAATT